CCCCCCCCCCCCCCACACACACAAAAATGCACTAAATCAGAGAGGCCAACTTTCAGGATTAAGGCTGCTGCCTTGGCTGAGTATAGCTTTTGATTTGTATTTGTGGTTGTAACATTACCAAAAAACTGATAGTTTACTGTAGGGTCCCTCAAAAGAAGCCATCTACATAGACACCCACATGATGTTACTCAGATACTTGGTTAAGTTTTGTCATGTTGAAGTAATAGACAATATTTTAAAAATAACTGAATTTGGATTTGACAATTCCTATTAACCGCAGCCATAAGATTTAGTTTTTGTCAGAGGCAGTGAAAATAACTACACAATTTAATCACAGTTCAACCGATTAACTGACAACTGAGGGAAAAAAAGCTACTGTTGCCACTGTATAAACCTGCTGCGTTTGTCTTTCATCTGATGAAGAAGCCAAGCTCGAGGTTCTGAAGCTATGAAAAAATCTTGCTTAACATAACGTAGGAGCATGTTATTCTTCATCCTTCCTAGACTGTTTTTGGAATGAGTGGGTGGGAAAAGTCTTGAAATTGTGTAGCTACAAAGTAAAACAGATTCAGAAGCTATCTTTTTCCTTTCACAGAAATAAAAACAAGCTGATTGTTCAACAAAAGGCAGTGTTTTATTTATCTTGAAAAGCCAGTAGTTAAAGGAGAGTCCTGTGCAGATTAAATCATTGTTCTTTTCTACAACTAGAAAAAGACAAAAGTAGCAGAAAAGCAGGTGATACATGGACAGCAGTTGGTAAGCTGGACCTGGTGAAAGAAGTTTTACATGCTGTTTCTCCAACGAACGATTACAAGAGGTAATGACTAAGCGGCCTTGTTTCAGCTTACTCTTGACCAAGAGCAAGACAAGTGTTTAAAAACCCCCCAAAAACGCAGGCCTTCCAACAAGAAGTGTATAAGCCTGAAATAGAATTCCTGAGAAAAGATCTGAATTGCAAAATCAAATCTTCATCCTTGGGATCAGCCATCCGTAACTCGATAATTTGCTACCTGCTGAGAAGCTTTTACAACTTCAGGACTATTAGACTCTGCATGGGAAGCAAGTGCTAGGAAAAAACATTGCAATGATCATTAGTTGCCTAAAAACTAACACTGTTTGAATCCGTTTTGAAGAACAGGCAAAAAAGCTGCAAGAGAAACAGGTAAGTTCAGATTTTTTTGATAAGAATAAGACTACCACTGTACATTCTTCCTCAGCCTTTTGAAAGTCCTCATGTATCTGCCGGCTTTATGGCACACCTCAAAGAGATATTTTACAGCCCTACCTGAAAACAAACACCAGAAAATCTGTCAGCTAAGACTGTTCAGATCATGCGGATAAAAGAGCTTCTGTACCTAGGAAAGATCCTGAACTAATACTGCAAGTCTCCAAAACAGAACCAGACAGAATTGAAAGGGAAACAGAGAAGCTTTATGAACAGAGTAAAGATTCCTAACTTTCTGCAGAAAGGTCTCACGTGCTGAATAAAGACCCAACGCCATGGTTCCCCAGACAGTTTATGAGGGCACGTAAACTGGCATCAAAGGCATGATTTGGGCACAAAGTAACCAGAAATCTAGCAGTTAGTTGTGGGTGCATGCCTTTGTAGGTTAAAACCTTAAATTTTAATGTAGAAGGGTTCAAACTGTACTTACTGAAATATTTATTTTAAATAAAATATTAAAGTATTGTGAATTGTTAGAATACTTTTATAGCCAACAACTTTTAGCGAAAACCAAGAGAAAACACTACTTACATTAAAACTCTTTTAGCCATTACGGCTCAGTTCTTTAAAGATTATAAGGTGACAATTTTTCTGATGTTTATAAAATACTTGAGTTTGGTGTGGCTCTTTAATGAAAAAGGGAAACAGGGATTAAAAACATTAACTTGAGCCCTTGCTATTTCTAGCACGACTCAGAAATAACTGGTGTTTGAACAAAGGTTTTAGGATCCTGTTTGAATTCAACTCTTCAAACATTACTGGGTTTCAGAGCTAAAAACAATGAGGTAATTGTAAAGTAGGAATAAATAACATATCCAGCCAGTAAATATCTTCTTCTTAATTAGTACTGGATAAATTTCACCATTACCAACTGTTTTGTCATGTATCTCAAGATCAACCACATGCAAACCCTTTTAGTGCTACAAGGAAATTAAAATTTTGGTATAATATTCATCCCAAGGGTTCTGTATGAATGTACCTAAATGTTGGGATCACCTTGAAGTGATGATGGGCCAGACTAAATATTTAAACAACTTCTGTCTCTACATTTCCCTGGAATCGCTGAATACTGATTACTCCCTGCACTTGAACTTTATAGATTAATGTGAGTAGCAGGGATCTTAGAAAATATAGAAGATCAATGAGTCATTTTAAGGACTATTTTTCTGCAATTATACATTGCTTACAATTCTCTCATAACCTACCATGTTCTTGCATAGCTGCAGTTAATGAAAATATTAAAAAATGCTAATTAATTCTGTAATTTCACAGTGG